GTTGGCGCAGTGTGCACATACTTGCTTTTCGCATCAGTAATTCCTACCATGGTATCTAAAGCAGCTTGCACACTAGTGAACCTTGGGGGTGTGTTAAATATGCCTTGAGGTCATTAAGTGGACAAAAGCGTGAATGGTTTCCTTGCTGCACTGGGCAGAGAGATTATCCACGTGGTTTCTGGATCAGAATCAGTCGTGTTCTTTGAGAGTATGTACCTCAGAGGTCTGTCGCCTGTTTGGGCTTCAACTTTATCGGCAACAACAGTGTCAGTAATATCGATTATGAACCCTTCTGTACTGATGACCTTTCTTGGGCATCTATCGACCTTGTAATGATGCCAGACTGTGTGGGTCTCAATCTTTTGTGCCTTGAGAATGTCGGCAATTTCTTCTTGGAAAGCCAGAAGCTTAGCCTGAGTTGGCTTGTTCTTTGGGTGTAAGGTAAATCCAGAAGGACACCGTGTCACTTCTCTAAGCTCTTGAGGGTGGAGCTTAAGTCTTCTGTTTAGTGTAGACTTGATTCCATAAGGCTCAAGGTAGCTATTATCCATATGGACAAAAACCCGGAGATCATCCTGTTTCCTTTTTAATTGGTTGATAGTGATAAGGGCACTAGGCTGTGTTTTCTTTATGGTAGTGTTGACTATCCATGGATGCTGTCGTTGGCCAGAGGAGACAGCTTGGGCGAAGGTCATGGTGGGCTTCTCTATTTCTATCCCCCCAGAAGTGGCCTTTTTTATGGTCAGATCTCGGGTTTCCAGCCACTCATTCAGACATTTGGAGAAGAAAGTGCTGAACTCCTTGGCATGAGAGTATAGTTCGGTTCCAGCTTTCTCAAGTGTCTTATCGACTGCTGCAGCACACTCCTGAAACATTGTCATCCTAGCTTCATAGAGATGCTTGTCTTTAGCCAATATTTTGGCAACTTGGTCCTGGCACTCTGAAGAGGAGACTTTGTTCCTTGTATCACCTCTAATGGCTTGGTCTGTAGGGATTTCGCTTGACTGAGGTAATTCCATATCAATGGTGCTGCTATTAATGATATTTCGGGATTTTCCTTTCAGAGGGGAAACAGTGGTGAAGTCAGCCTCAGAGACCTGTGACGGGCTGCTGTTGATGTCGTCGAGCAGTGCCTGGCGGAGCCTGCTTGGGGTTGCCGGGTCATGTGTTCTTTTAGGGACTGGGGATTTGAACATGCCGCCAGTAGTCGTCTTTGGGACGGCCACTGGCGTGTTTGGGGGCCTGTCGTGAAAGGGTGCCATCCAGCTTGTGAGAAAATTTTTCTGCGCCTTGGCAAGGATAGTCAGGTACTGAGACAAATGCCTGCTTTAGTGCAGATATAGAGGTTGCGCCCTAACAGCGGGGCGCCAAGAAAAGTGCATGCTGTCACATACCTGGACATTAGGCCTCATTGGTAACCTCGACGCAGCTTGGGTGGTCTACCCCAAGGCAGACCACCTGGATCTCGAGCGCCTTTGCGGTTGCTTCTCTGCACCTATTTTTCTCGCCAAGCAGGTCTAATAGACGTGCGAGTTCGTTGTGGACTAAGAACAGCTCGAATCTAAAGATTCCGTTGCTCTCTATTAGCTGGATGAACTGGCGCGTTCTGCGCACGGCTTCGTACATCTCGACGTGGCCAGTTATCGCGTCGGTAATATTCCGTGAGCTGGTGGCGGACCTAGATTATCTCTACCCGACGAATGTCGGACGTGGTGCATATCAGGGACCGTGTGTCTGACAGATAGCTTATTTTCTTCAAAGGTTTGCGCTGCCGTCGCAGTGTGTTATAAACAGGAAATGGATTGTGCTTTGGTGGGTTGGAAAAGATGTAGCTTAACGCCATGGCCTTGAAACGCGTTCGGGCCTGCGATCTTTGACAGACGGTACGGCAGAAACATAGTGGTTTCCTGGCCGATACCAGGGCCGATCAGGGGTGCCAGGTCAAAGATGCCAGCGAAGACGGGGGAGAAAAGAAGCTGGTCTAGCAACTGCCATGCCGGTGAAGGCCGAGCTATGCGATGTTCATGCGTTACTTGGAGAAAAATATTGCAAAAGGTCCCCAATAATGTGCCACTGAAAATGCAGTTTTCTGTTCCCATAATTAACACACTGGTTTACAACACGTCTGTGACTCGGGCTTCCCCCTCTCGGTGATATGCGCGATTGGCATGGATTGCCGAAGGCCTGAAAGCATGGCCACACGCCTGATGACTGAGCTAGGCATTCACGACCCTCGGATACAATGATCTCTTTAGCGTGTGTGCCGTCGGCTGATACACGAACTGGTTGGGAGACGTCAGTACCTCCGATGAGCAATTTGGTTGCTTGCGGGATGTGACATACCTTCACGTTAAGCTTCATTCGCTGTTGTCTTCTCCGAGGCAAAGGGTCCGAATCTCTGCTGCCTTCGCTGTCGCATGTCTATACGCAGTGGCGTCGCCTAAGAGATCGCATAGACGCGCTTCTTCGGTATAGACCAAAGACAGCTCCAGCGCCATGATACCCTCCTCCTCAATCAACTGGCACAATCGGCGGCGCCAAGGTCCCGAACAACTCAACGGATATCCACGGTGGATTGATATGGACGTGGATATCCACACCAACTCAATCCACGAGGACACCTGTAGCCTTGGCAACCAACTCATCGACGAGGCTTTCGTAGGTTGATATGCATTGATATAAGTTAAGATCGAGATTTTAATTTTTGACCATATAAAAGAAAAATCTATAGTAGGTCTTGCCGGGGTATCTCGGAATATCGGAAATTTCTTACAAGATCTCCCGCTATATATCAACCCACGAGAATGTCAATCTCCGGAGACAGGACCTCTCGTTAATACACGTCAACGTCAATCAACCCAACTTGAAGATTTTTGAAAAGATTGGCAATCCACTCAACGAGACCCCTTCGTTGACGTGGATTGAGTTGGTCGGGACCCTGATCGGCGCGCTCTGGCAACAGCATCGAGTATGTCGACATGGCTGGTGCCCTCCCGTCGGTAGTAGTCTGTCAGCTGGTTTCGCAGCTGCAAGCGAACTCCTAGTTCGCGAGCAGCTGCACCCGCTGGTATGCCGACAGATAGAGGGATACCTGCATATACGAGATTGTGAATCTGTGATCTCGTCGCCTGCGTGGATATCCTGTACGGCGTGAAGGTTGAGCGAGTCCGTGGCATGATTATAGTAGGCGAAAGCATTCGGCGCGCAGCTGGAAGTCTTAGTCAGACCGCAGTCCTAAATAGTTTTTGGGCATGCCAGATTTGATCCTTACCTGTGACTGAGGAATGACAACGGGAAAGCCAGGATGCACCCGACTCCCTGGCCTTAATTGCGTTGAATCTCGCAATCATGGCCAATCGGTGCGAAGCTGTCATGGCTGCATCTCGGTCTGGTCCTTCGGGGAGGCAGGGTGCGAAGTCCGCCACGCCGGAGAACATACGCACTTGGAAGCGTTGATTCTGAAGCGCGAGGTTCGCAAAGTCGGGGGAGGGGGAGATTGCCGATAGCCTCAACGCGGTCCTCGTAAATCGCAATGGGAACCTCCTCGAGGATTCGATCTCCTCTGGTGATGCCATTGATGGCAAATAGTCCCAGACTCATCTGGGCGTGCTCGGACATGCGGATGCACCTGCCAGGCAAGAGACACATCTTCTGATGCCATCCCAAAGCGTGCCGCAGAGGTGGCCAAGATGTGACTTGTTAGTAGAGCAAGGTATCTACTAATGTCATTCGGTGCCGTGCCGCAGACGTGGTGTTTCTCAATATGCAAACGATAGCCAACTGCCTCCAGCAGGAGGCCCTAACTCACCTGGAGCGGCACGGACACTCACAAGATCGACAGGAATGTCTCGGTATCTAGCTGCAGAACACAGTAAACGATGCGATCACCGACGTCTCTATCAGGTCGGACTTATCCGTTAGTCCTACGAGGCAGAAAATGCCACGATAGTACGTCAGTGCCAACAAGGGTGGGCGTTGGAATCCTATCTTTAGGTGAGGCTAGCAGATAGCGTTCCAAGATAACCTGCGATTGCACTCAAGGCTGCTAATGTCAGGAAGCATGGAAGCGAACAAAGGAACACGTCCCTGTATATATACATCCAGGAAGACCACAAAACCCCGATGGCCCAATTAGCCACTCTGCCACCAATCTTCACTGGTCCATTCCTCAACAGTACTATCAACGACATCTGTTTTTCTTTACATCTATTGATTCATTATAGGCACCTTTTCTACGTATTTTCTATTTACTCATTCCGTCGCGATTACAAGTGCGGAGCCAGACGAAACTAGGTACCTAGCATACCCGACGGCAGGCTATAGATGGTTGATTCCGTAGTCTGCCTGACATTGCCCCCACCCCTGATTCGCGCTGCAGCTCCCAGCAGATCAACATGTCATCATCTCCCCCCTACAGGACACCAGCACGGCAAGTGGTAGCGAGACGAAATGTGGAGGTAGGCATACTCTCTGCCACATATCTATGTGAAATTACCGTTGATCATCATGGTCCCCGCCTAACCAAACTGATAGTACGTGATGACTCCAGAGGTATATCTCCATATGAAAGAATAGGCAGTATACGCGCCTATCGCCCTGGTTAGCCTCTACGCTACTACTTACCATGCAGGTGACTTGTATGGAAACAAGGAGAAAATCCCTTGGTGGAACTTCTAGACCATCCTTCCTTCTCGGTTACTCCTTTGTTATGATTGGTTGGCTCGCCATTCACTATCAATTCAGTAGCCCTATGCCGTGACTGTGCCGCGACTGTGCCGTAACTGTGCCGCGATTGTAAGGCTGAGTTGCTTCAGCTGCGCTCCTACAAATCCCTACAACCCGAGACGGCAGATACCGCCTGCATCCCAATACGGCAAACCCCTGCATCTCGAACACGCCGTATTCCCAAAATTGGATCACTAATTACCTAGCCCCAGTCAGCCACGCTCTCCCTTTGGTGGCCAGGACGAAATGCAAGTATTCGCTGTACTTTACACGCATTACTTCTTGCTCTCGCTTCTTGCAGGCGTCTCCTCAGTTTCGTCAGCCACGTCACCCTGGGTCCAAGACTGATCGGTGGTAAGTTTCTGATTCATGTCACACTCCTTCGTAAAAAAGTGAATGAGGAGTGCGAGTCCGGAGAGCCCCTTCATAGTCGCCCAAATCGCCACGAATGACTGCGCGAACGCACTCCGCAATGCGAGAGCCACGTCAGATTCTGCTGGCATGTCCTTGAGAACGATTATGAGCTTGACGGCTGACAAATCCGTGAGGTTGGCTGGTACAACTGACGCCACATCAGGCTTGTGCAGCTGCGTTCTCACAACGTTGTCGAGGATGGAGCTCCCAATACTAACGCCCACTGTATGTCCGAAGTCGCGAAGAAACTGGAACATTCTCGTGGCCATGACCATGTCGGTCTGCGGCACAGAAGCCTGCAGCGCGATGTTCAGGGCCGGGAGTAGGATCCCCTTGCCGATCCCGGCTGGTATCCGGATGGATATCCACGCAGGTATGCTTGTATGGACATCTAGGAGGCACATGACGCCGAAACCGAGGGTAGCAAGGGCCCATCCCGTCCAGGTTGCCCAGCGATAATGTCCCGTTTTGCCCACGACGATTCCGGTCAAGACAGCGCTGGGAATCACGGTCAACGAACCCGGGAGGGCGGCGACGCCTGCGATGAGCGGCGAATAGAGTTTGACGGATTGGAAATACTCAGGCATGTAATACACCTGAGCATACAGCAGCACGCCGTTGATGAAGCTGCCCACGTAGATGATAGAGGTGGTGTAGTTCCGGAAGATATAGAGTGGGAGGAACGGTCTACTCGTCATATAGCCTTCATACAAACCAAAGGCCACGATGCCCGCAAGACCAACAACGATTGAGAAAATGGTGTGCCAGCTGCCCCAAGGGAACTGGATACCACCCCAAGTCACGGGAACCAGGAAGGCTATAACGGAAGCGGAGAACAAGACGAGCCCTGGCCAGCCGATCTTGCGCAGCTCGTTGGCGAGGGTCCCGTCACGCGGATTAATCTTCATGCAGGGGAAAACACGGTACACCGACCCAAGATAGCCCGGCGATGGGAAGATTGAGCCTGGCAGGGTGAGTATGAGAACAGACTCCCGACTGAGCTGGGAACTCATCAGTATATCCATCGCCATGCCCCTGTCACTGCGCAGGCGCCGCCGATGACCGGTCCTCCGATACTTCCCACAGCAAATATGCTGCTGATGAGGGCAGGATATTTGGCTCGTTGCAAGAGCGGTACCATATTAGTGATGACGACCATAGTAAGTCCCACTACACCACCGCCGGCAAGACCCTGGATGGTTCGGCCCGCGCTCATGACGCTGTACGTTGACGCCGTCGCGCACACGATTGACCCGGCCACCAGGACCAACAGGACGACGATGAAGGTCATCTGGCGCCCGAGGGCGTCGCTCAGTGAAATCCACAAAAACACGCATGACGTACTCGCGAGTAGGTACGATACCCCGGCCCAGAAGGTTTCCACCTGGGTCCCTGGGATCGACTCGAAAACCACCTGCGATCAAGGATGAGCGAAGGTATTCATCGTGCTAGCTAGACTTTCTCCCTCAATGCGTCCGGGATAGACTGAAAGGACGAACAGGTAGGGCAGAGGCAAGGCTCGTGCCGTCGAGGGCGACAGCGATCGTGGCTATGCTTACCGCGAGAATGGCGAATCGATAGCGAATGCCTTGGGCATCCTAAGTCTGGGTCTGGGACATCATCTTGCCGGCGCCTCTTCAGCGCTGTGAGCTTTTATTTGCAAATATCGGCTGAGCATTGTTGGAAATCCCGAGCGCTTGGTCGAAGTCAAGGAAGCCAATTTGAGTTCCCCCTTGCTTTTGTATACCTATTGAGCGACAGGGGTCAGGCAACCAACAGATGAATGACATGCCGTGTAACCATCTATTACGCGTACCTGTCCGACTGGCCACTTTGGGGTGTTGGTATCGACTGCATAAGCTGCCTGGATCGTCTTGTCCCAGGGTCGCACGTCATGAACGCCCTCGAGTCAGATCAATAACTACGAGCATAGACTCAGGAGGAGGCAAACCCTCTTCGCCAGCAATGTTCTTCTTCTTTCGCCGCGCTCTCGGCGGCCGCCCTGTTTCTGTACTGGGCAAGGCAGTATGTTGACCTTAAGAGGCGACGGCAAGCCTTCGCCCACGACCACCGGTGTCTCCCGCCCGTCGATGCGTCGCGCTTCGACTTGGTGCTGGGCTTGCGCCACACGCTCGCCATCGTCACGTCCAAGGCGAACGGGCAGCACCTGCGGAACTTCCACCGCAACCTCTTCGGCGCGTACAAGAACACCGTCTCCATGCTCATCATGGGCCAGCGCCTCATCATGACCAACGAGCCGGAGAACCTGAAGGCCATCCTAGCCACACAGTTCTCGGACTTCGGGATGGGCGAGCGCCGTCGAGATATCTTCGCTGACATGCTGAGCATTGGCATCTTCAACGCCGACGGCGACGCCTGGGCCCACGCGCGCGCTATCATCCGTCCAACCTGGCGCGCAGCCAGTTCACTGACGTTGGCTTGTTCGAGAGGCACTTCCAAGTCTGGATGGACCACATGCCAATCGGGAAGGATGATGCGCTGGATATACAGGATTTGGCATATCGTTTTGTGAGTAACACCGGTAGTGCTGGCGCCGGCCATTTTGCTCTCACTGACTATCTAGCTAGACCCTGGATGTCGGCACCGAGCTTCTGTGCGACAGGTCGTCCCACACCCTTCACCCCCAGGGCGCTAAGTCGGGTCGTCGGTTCGGGAATCGACACGGCCAGCGATGTTATCATGATGCGCATGCAGCTTGGCAAGTTATGGCGGCTATATAATCCCCGCAAGAACCGCGAAGCTTGCCAGGCCGTTAAAAATTACGTCGACCCGATGGTGCACGAGGCTGTCGCGAAGGCTAAGAATGCCAAGCAACGTGGCGACGGCGTCACCGAAGACGATCCGAGGTACACCTTTCTTGGGGCATTAGCTAGCCAGGATCTCAGTCCCGACGAGGTTCGTAGCCATGTGCTTAACATGTGTTGATTTCACCTGTTGGCTGCTAGTTATTCCTTTTTCTCTTCTTGCTAATTATGTCACAGTGTTCGCAGCCCACGCCTCCACGGCTTCCTTGATGGCTTCGGTATTCCGCTTCCTCGCAGAGGATAGTCGCGTGCAGAGGCGTCTCCGGCAGGAGATCTGGAATGGCCTCGAAGGGCGCCGATCCACGTATGAGGACGTACGCAGCCTGACGTACCTGAACTGGGTGACCAAAGAGACCCTGCGCCTTTATCCTCTTGTACCGCAAAATATTCGTGGGGCGGTCAAAGATACGTTGCTCCCGGTAGGAGGGGGCCCAGATGGTACCGCACCCCTCTTCGTACCCAAAGGCTGTGAGATTGGCTACTTTGTATATTCGATCCACCGCCGGACCGACCTGTGGGCGAGATGATGCCGGGGATTTCCGGCCAGAGCGCTGGGAGACGATCTCGCCCATGTTCCAGTACTTGCCCTTCAACGCTGGTCCGAGAATTTGCCCAGGTAAGTTAGGGACTCCCCGCCGTGTCTCAAGTCTCTCCTTGTGATCCCATTCTACCTCCTGGGATTCAGAAAGCTAACACACAGAACTTTTAGGGCAGTCTTTTGGACAGGCGGATGCAGGGTACTTCATTACGCGTTTCCTGCAGGAATATACGGTCCTCAAGAAGCCTGAGCACGTTTCTGCTTATCGCGAAAACTTGCATCTCGTTCTGTCCGCCAAAGGAGGAGTGCGGGTGATTGTGGACAGGTAACTTAAGATAGAAGAATTCTGTAACGACGAGATATGTTCCGTGTGTAGAAGGATTCCTCTGATTGTGACGTAAGATTGGGTAAAAAGGATAGGCACAAATTAGTTACGAAGGGTTATTTTGATATATTCTTACCGACGGGTGCCTTCAAATCCTTCTTAATTTAGACTTTAAATAAACTACCTAGACATTACCCACCGTCTTAGAAATATGTGATAGAACTGTGTCGTGGTCTGAGGCGCCCCTGGTCGGGCTAGGGTGTGTGCATATACGGTTTCAGGGGTGCTTGATCTGCACGAGTACATCGTGCCAAGAACCTGGGCTCTATGGGTGCCATGCGAGATATGTTGACATGGTGAAGCCCTTCTGCCCTTTCCTGCGATAAGGCTATGGCCTGCAGGGACCTGTGCCGACGATGTCCACCCGTCAACTCCTGTGAGCGTTCGGCAATCGGAAAACCGACCAAGCGCCAACAACCGCATGAGATAAGCAGTGGGTCCTGTTCACTCCTGGGTCACATCACGTCACGGCGGGAGATGGCCGAGTCCTATTGAAGGGGTTCATAAAGGGAGTCCGACTCGGGGTCGTACAGGTCGCCGAGGAAACTTCACGCACCGCAGGACGGTAAATCATCAAGTCAGACGATGTTCGCAAGTATGCGTCATACCCAGACCAACAACGACACAAGTGAGATACGAGGGGCATCTTTTCCATGAGGCAGTAATACCACACCGCCTACATCAAGTACCAGCACTTGCAGGCCCGCCACCCTCATCCAACGGCCAAACCGATTCACAAAAATAATACCACCAAACTACACCAAAACACTCACATTACCAGTCCCATCACCCACAGCCCTAACCCTCGCCCCAACCTCCAACGGGCTCCCCTCAAACACAACAAACTCATCCCGCACCCCCACCCCCCCACCACCGCCCTTCAGCCCCAGCATATCGTAAACATTCCCCCCAACCATCTCCAACGCCTCCCGCTCCCCAATCGCCCCGCCGCCATTCCTGTATGCGATGCCAGCGAGCAGCCCCACGTCCCTCACGAGCCAGTCCTCCTCGATGCCGATCGCAGTAATCACACCAGCAGCAACAAGCGCGTCGACCGCAGTGCCGTTCGTCAGCGGCGCGCCGGTGAGCGCGCGGCGCTGGTCCCAGGTCGAGCGGTACGAGAGCAGGGGGCTCAGGACGACGCCCACGCCGGCGGCGGCAAGCTCGTCAGCTAGGAGGAAGGACTCGGCACCGCCGATGATGACGAGGTTGATGCCGGGGGGACTGCTGTCGGTTCCGCGTGATGAAGTGGTGATGGCGCTGTCGACTGCGGTCTTGACCTTCAGGACCGAAGCTATGACGTCGGCGCTGTGGACCGTGATGGCCAAGGGCATGGTCCCGTTCACGACCTTCGCGAGGAAGGCTGCCTCGGAGTAGGCATCCGTGACATTCGCGCTCCCGTCCACGGCCTCGAGAAGCTTGCGGCGCAGCGTCCCCACCGCGTTGGAGATCGACGTGCTTCCGCTCTTGGAGGCGAGGTCGAGGGTGTAGTGCACAGCGACGTCATCGGCGAACACGGCACCCTCCTCGAGTGCGTGCTTGGCACCGGTGTGGCAGCCCACGCTCGTGCCCTGGTGCGTTCCCTGGCCGGTATACTTGGGCGCTGAGATGGCACGCGTGACACCGTATTTGTGCGCGTAATGCAGCTTCTTGGTGTCGAAGGCCAGCCCGTCGACGCCGCGGCTGAATATAGACGTGCCGGCGCCGTTATCGGTGTCCTTCTCCGCGTCGATAGCGTTGAGGCCGATGGTTGAGCCGAAGACGGTGAATGGCTTGGTCAGGTACCCGTTTTTCAAGGCGATGACCTTTACGCCTGAAGTGGCGGCGGATTGGAGTTCCGCGGCGCAGGTACCGATGCAGGTAATCTTGCCGTTGGAGATCGCGACGGTGGAATTCTGCCCTTCGGTGGCTTCTTGCGATGACCTATCCGAAATGAAGGATTTGGCCACACCAGTGAAGATGACATCGCCGTCGATGGTGGGCTCTTCGACTGGCACGGACGCTTCCTTGACCGCAATGACGGGTGCCTCGTATGGCTTCTTCAACTCGACGGGATCTTTGAACTGTGCAGTTCCATCAATCCAGATTTGGACCGGCGTGGCGCCGACACTCATAGGGTCACTGTCCCAAACCACAATGTCGGCATCGTAGCCAGGCTTGATTTTGCCCAATCGCTGGCCAAGACCCAGCCGCTCAGCTGGAGCGGTGGTGACCGAAGCCATTGCAGCATGGTACGGCAGACCGTACCCGAACGACTTAGCAGCCTCAAACACAACATGTTGGGCATTCAGGACAGGATTGTCACTGACATAGATAGGTGTCAGGCCGTTTTCATACAGCACTTTTCCGGCATACTCGGATCCGATGTATGATTCCGCCTTGTACCACATGTTGTCAGCGAACAGTGCCGAAGCTGGTGGTGAATCGCCGTATGCTCGCTTCAGAATCTCAGGGACAAGGAACGTCTGATGCGCATGGTGAAAGGCGCGAATCGGAAATTTGAACTCGTTAGTGTGGTCGACGAAAGCCTCGAGATCCGGAATGGTGTAGCAGTGGGTGTTGACGTGGACCTGGCCGCGCAGAACTGCACCTAGTGTCTCCCATCGCAGCTCTTGCGGTAGGTAAATGTCCATGTTTCGAACGCCGACAGACTCAGCGACATTGCACCAGTCGTCTTGAGAACGGACCAGGTTCGCTGCTTGTTCGAATGCGTGTCTGAACTCCCACGATTCGCCCAGCCGGCTTACCGGTCCATGTTCACCAACCTTGCCGTAAACCCGCTTGGCATTCTCTCCACATGCCATCTTGATGTATCGCCATGCGCGGTCAGGATCGGCCAGCATATCCGTGTCAGAAGTCTCATTGCGGCCGTCGGCCTCGCCAACGGCATGTTTGATGACAAATGCTTCGCCACCAATGTTGTTGCCAGACCCGGGCAGCACCAGGCTCGTAGTCACACCACCCGATTTGATGACTTGCAGCTGATGGTCGTTGGGCTGCAAGCCGTCGATGGAGCGAACGTATGGCGTAATGTCAGAGCTCATCTCATTCGTATCCTCGTTTCCCCAGAGCTCAGGTAGACTGTCCACACCGGCATGGCTGTGCATGTCGATGATGCCGGTGGTGAGTGGGCGGCCTTGGGCGTCAAACACCAGATAATCGGATGACAGATAGCTCCCATCGACGTCCTTTCCAACCTTCTTGATGAGACCGTACTCGACGAACACATCGCCACTAACCCACGAGTAGCCCTTGCCAGTGCGTGCATCTTCGTCACTCGCCCCCTCGACCGGCTCGCCGACCCAAATGGTGGCGTTCTTGATGAGGGTAGGCTTGTGGCCGTCGATGTAACGCGCATTGCGGCCGCGTCCGGCCCCGATCGGATCTTGCGGCTTTGACCGCAGCTTCGAACACACCTCCAAGTCGCCTTCCAATTTCTCGATTGATAGAAGTGAGGATCCGGTCTTGACATCGGAGCCTATCTGTCGCCACTGGGCGTAAACGATGAAGGCGAGGCAGGCGAGCGCGAATACCCGCAGACTCCGCGATCGCCGCATAGGCCGACACCGGGGCCGGTCTGGACTTGCCACGGCACTGTATGGCGGAAGCTCGATCTTCTCATGCTCCATGTCTGCAGTTGATATATTATGAAGAAAGACGAGGGAGTGAGAGGAAGCTGGAGAGCTCCGTGAGGTGGATGAGGTGCTGGGTGGTGGCATCGCTCCACCAAGGAACTACCTGGCCAATCAGATAAGGCTTATAGCCCCCTGTAGATCAGCGCGGCGCCCCGCAGTCATGAGCTGATAGCTGATAAGGAGACGCCGATGCTTCCTTCCCCAACCTCCTGAATTGCCGCCTCGTCTCACAAGCTGTCACCCCGTCCCGTCACCTCGACTAGACGACGACCTCCAAGTCGTTCCCGCTGAGCGGAAGCTGCCCAAAGTAAGCACGTTGATGGCCCATTACTCTCTTTTCTATTCTGCCCTTTGTCTTGCAGTTGATATTTAGTACTGAATTGCTACCTCTCGGAATGCCCGACAGACATGGAAGACGCTCATATCAGCCCATCTGCGAGTTTTATAGAAGATAAGCTTCTTAAAGTGTTCACGGGATGTCCTTAATGCTTCAGTTGCATCGCGTGCGCGTACAGTTCCGGTGCTTCCACGGCATGCTTGAAGATCATGTGGTGAAAACACCTTGGGAGCCCTCTCCACTACCTCTATGTCAGATGCTTTGGGTTCGCCCTGATCGTCATGCCCATCGTCTTCTCAACGCTGTTCATTCTGCCGTTCCCAGCGAGGGTCTTGCTTCCCCGCTGATGCCCTTGTCGTTACCCTCGTCCATGCCATTGATCCAAGCAAAACCGAAAACTTACAAGATCGAGGGTCGGCCGTCCCTTCGCCCCATCCGCGATCGGCGGACTCTCTCTCCTCCTCTAATCTAAGGTAGCATGTGCTCCCGCAGGTGCACCCTGGAATAATCGTCCGAGGATAAATTTTCGAGCAACATGTAGAGTCGAGATGGGATGGGGTTTCAGGCTTTCGCATTTCAGTGTATGTATCGAGAGATACCTATGCAAAGAAGCCTTTTCTTCCTAGTCTAACAGATGATATGGCAACGGGCTTATGCCACTTTATATGCCTTTCTCCAGCATATCCGACGCACCCCGGGTTTCTATGCGTCATCGCGCGATCCGTGTGTGCAAGTTCTGCGCACTGAACCTTGTTTCCGAACGTAACTCCATGAACCTTCCCTATCGAGGAATTCCTTTGCCTGAAGCCGAGTTCACGGCGACAATGGTGGTCTTGCGGCAGCGAGCGGAAAACGGGCCAGGGCGCAGGCACGCGCATGAACACCCCAACCTGCATGCGGTTTCCAGCGTCGGTAGCTTCTTGCGTGCAAGCTTCGCTTGAGAGTCGGAAGTCGAAAGGGGAAGTTGAAAGTTGAAAGTCGGAAGCAGCAGACATGCACAGTCACCTCAGGTACGAAAATGAGGTGTCGAAGCTTCCTCCACTGCGAATTATTCAACGTCAGCTGGCGCCTCCCCTCACACCCCGGCTTGCACTTCGACCTGTCGGCGACTCTTGGGGACTGGTGCCAGGGAAGCTGGGTGCAGGAGGAGACGAACGCGAAGACCGGCCTGCGCCAGAGATGGGCTGCTACCAGCGCAGGTGCTAGATCATGTGGAAAATCATTCGTTCCATTTTTGTTGTGCGAAAACGCACACCGATAGCAAGCCCAACGCCAAACCCACGAAACTTTTAGGATCAGGGTCGACCTGCCGGCCGCCCTATCCGCGACCGACAGAATCTCTCTCCTCCTCTACCCTAAGGGAGCAAGTGCTGCCGCATGTGGTCCGACAGGGTATCCTCGCGGCTGTAGCTGCGGTCGGAGCCGCCGTAGGTGCACGCGAAGGGCGGCCCACGGCGCGTGGTGTGGGTGAGCATGTGCTTGCCCAGTTCCGCCGAGTCGGCGAACGTTTGGTCGCAGCCGTGGTAGCCGCTGCACTGGCGGAGGTGCTCGATCCTGTAGCGGTCCAGCTTTTCCTCGGCGCCTGACACCGCATTGCGGGCACCGGACCCGAGGACCAACGGTCGGAAAGGGGGCGGCAGAACCTCGGGCTAGACGACGTTTCAGTATGGTCCAGTAATGGTACGGGAAGTGGACTTACAAGAACGTGACCGTGGACCATGACGGAACGGGTGCGGCAAGACGAACAGGCGCGACAGCATCACCGCGGAGAGACTTGACAAGGTCAGTCATTGCTTATGCTATGTGTGGGGATACGGAGTACTTACGGCGGAGGCGGGTATACCTCGTCGACTTTGAGGGTAACAGCACCGCCGAGGACCGCGACAATGCGCAGGCATGGATTTCATGGCAATCACCAGCTTCCATGGACTCCGAGTCTAGGCGGATTCCGTCGGGGGTGTTCCAGAGCTGGTCCGCTCTGTTGAGGCTGACTCGTTTCAAAGCGATGACTGGGGCAGCTGGTCCTCCTAGGACAGCCGGGAGAGCGGCACCAGGCTCGTCGGCGTCGGCTTGACCAGAGGTAACGCGATCGTCGGCTTCTGCTGAGTCCACGCCATGATCCTCGTTGCCAAACTGTACATCGGCAACGTCCTCTCCAAGTATAATAGGGCTACCGCCCCGTCCGCCAACGTGTTCGTCATCGCCAAGAGGACGCTGCGCTTTGCTCTTCTAACGCAACGTCCTTGCCTGCCAGAGTTCCTCCCTTTGCTGCCTTACTCCCCTACTCCCCTACTCCCCGACGCTCGCCTGCGCCCAGAGGGTGGGTGGTGTTGGAGCTCATGATAGCCGGATGATTCGTATATCCGAGGAGGCACGTGCGTTGGGGCGACGTTGATTGGCGAGGGCAGCAGCGAATGGTGGGATAGTTTCCCTCAAGGTTGCGCTTGATTTCATCAGGTTGTAACTATCCAATATGTCCTCATAGATCGACTTAGGCAGATGCCTCTTGAGCCCAGACTGCTGCCCAAGTCCATGGATAGTGAGCACAACTTGGCCGCTAGGCGCATCCATGCCCCAAGACAGGTCGGCAGCTTCAGGAGCCACAACCTCCAAGGTATCCCTGACGTCCGTGGCCACTTTGATGTAGCTCTTGACATTCCCAATCTCGTCACGGATGATTGTGCATGGACAGAAGCTGGGCCGCTGAGTGTGGCCCGCAGCCCCTTTCGACTGCTCGAACCAACTCCCCCGAACTTCCACCCCATCCCCTAAGCGCACGCGCATGTATACCCCCGTCGGGGACCCCTACACACGCATGCGGTTTCCAGCGTCGGTAGCTTGCGTGTATGCTTCGCTGTCGGTGACTCTTGGGGACTGGTGCCAGGGGAAGTGGGTGCAGGAGGAGTCGAACGCGAAGACTCGGCCTGCGCCAGAGATGGGCTACTAGGAGCGTCGAGGACGGGAACGGCGTGAGCGGCATGAGGAGGAGCGACGGTCGGAACGGGGGTGACAGAACCCTAGGTTAGGCGACAAGTGTTAGTTTGGTCTAGTAATGGTACGGAGAATTGGCTTACAATGTCAGGACCGGGGACCATGACGGCAATGGGTACGGCAAGAGGAATAAGCGCGACAGCAGCCGCGACAGCAGGACCGGTGGAAGACAAGAGCGAGGGCGGAGGAGGCGACTGCGGCGAGATTGGTGGTGGCGGAGCCGGGGGAGGAAGAAGAGGCTGAGGCGGAACCGGAGGTCGAGCCGGTGCCGGAGCCGGGAGCCGCATCAGCAGCAGACGGAACGGAGGAGCCGGAGACGGGAGCCGCGGCAGCAGCGGGAACGGAAGAGGCAGGGCCGTGAACGTTCATGGTGGCGATGGTGATGGCGATGGTGATGGCGATGGCGGGAGTGTTCTTGTTTTCGTTGTTGATGCTGTCGGTGCAGTTGTCTTTGTAGTTGTCAAAAAACCAAAGAGCATTGGCCCAGAAGCATCTCCTGTCTCTACCCCCATCTGCCCCGTCCGCCGAGTTTTCCCAAGCGTTACCAGGCCAGTCGTCGATTCTTCGGCCTAATTTTTTCACGGAGCAGTTCTTTGCCAGCCATTTGAATGTCATGACAAGGGAACCCCTCTTCTCCTTCCTCTCGCTCTTCTTCTTTCCCCACTTGTCCAAGTCCTCAAGCCAGCGGAAGGCGCATCTACCAGAACTTGTAGGTTCATTATATGGCCCTTAGGGCATTCGTCGATATCCCCTGGTTGCAGACTTTGCTGGCCAGCAAATCATGTATCCTCTCTACCAGCCTCCCATTCCTTCCACAACCTCCTACTGGTCGTCGATAGGGAATTGACGGACCATCGGCATGGCCGGCATGTTCTCTGCGAATGTGCTGTGGCAGCCCGGACGGTGGGAGGCCGGCCTTCGCCAGCGCGCAATGCTGGTCGCGATCGAACGGCGGCTGGGTCCGCTTGTTGTACTCGACGATGGCCTCGATGAGGCGGCAGAAGAGTTCGCAGAAGACGACCTCGTCCATGCCGCGGCACCACGCGACTTTTTGCTGGATCTTCCGCAGCGAGGCGATCATCAATCGTTGCTGATTGATAAGGCCTAATCGAGGCTTGAATCGTTAGCCAATGTCCTGATAGTAAGGTGCGAAGCCAACGTACGAAGCGCGTCAGCGGCTTGAATGATCTGGATCATCGCTTCCTCAACTTCTGCATGGCGGAGACGCACGCACACAGCCGCAAAGAAAGAGGCACTGACAGTCCCTGCGACAGTAGCACCGAGATGTGCTGCCGAAGGTACGCCGTGAAGGTGGTTTTTGCGGCAGCCGGCCTTGAAGCGGCGGCTACGGCGCTGACAGCCGGGGTATGTGCACACGAAAGATTGGGCACCCAAAGTGTGAATCCGGAAGACGCGCCTGTCCAGCTCAGCCGTGGTAGCCGCACTGGCGCAAGTGCTGGATGGCGTGGCGCTGCATATAGCCCTCGAGGGCCTCCGAGTGCTTGGCCTTAGGCACGTTCTCTTCAGCCCAGGCCTTCAAAAAGGCCTCGGCGTCGCGCTGGACTGCGTTGGCAATAGTATAGTAGTGGCCAGCGAGAGCTCGTTGCTGGAATAAGCAGTCATCAAACTGGAATAAACGTTTTCTGCGAACGGACGCTAGTAAAGGGGCCAGCATCCCTTCTTGGTCTTGAACACATATTCAGCTTGATGGTCCTTGTACAAGGTGCTTCAATGTTTTGACTTATAGGCGACCAGGATGGTCCTTCTGTCATTGCGACACAAGTTGGGCCATTGCCTCTACCGTGGTGGCCCTGCTTTCCCTCTTCTGTCTTCCATAGACACTGGGCTCGTCCAGCGGTAGGGGCTGCTGACTAGGCTGCCGTCCAGCCTTCTGAGCAGCCTAGTCACTGCGATAGCAGCACCGACATCTGCAGTGGCGAAAGCACCACGGCGGAGCCTCGTGCTGGTGGATCGGGTGGTCAAGCAGACCCTCTTCTCCTCGTAGTCTTCACCGCAATCGGGGGAAAAGCATTCCTCTCTCGGATGCTTGTTCATCCCATGCTCTTCCATCCCTTCTTATTGCTCTTGTAGCTGAAACTCCCAAATTTCGTGTTCAGCAGCAAGCCACAAGGGCAATGCTTCCACCCCTTTTCCGAGCTTAACAAAGCCAAACGACCCCAACGAAACGGAACCAGGCGAGACGGAACCAAGCCAAACGGTCGACTGAGCGGTGGTGCTGCCACCAGACCTCCGGGGTGCCCCGACGAAGGGGACCCAATCAGCAGCCGAGTGATCATCATTCGTATGATCCTATTATCACCAGTTAGCCTGGTGTTACAAAAAAAACCACAACTTATACACTTACTCCACCCAAAAGCCTTCGACCAGGGACTTCGCCAGCTGCTCGAAGTTGTGCCATCGGACTCAAAACTCGGCGAGCAGCTTCTCCTTGAAGCTGTTGGTGCAGTTGGGCCGGCAGCACGCGTACATGGTGATGAGCACGGCCTGCTGCTACTGTACCTGCACCTGCGTCGCCGGATGCTGGTGGAGGCCAATAGAAATCTCGTCGGCTGTACTGACCTGAGAAACGGGGCTGCGACTGCGTCTGGGCCTGTTAAGAATCCCCCTCCGAAAATGCTGTTGGAGCACATGACGTTGAAGCTGGTATTGTCCACTACGACGTCGATGATGATGATGCTACCCTTATTGATGCCCTCGCCGGAGCCCTTATTGTAGCATTTGTAAAAGTCCCTGTAGAAGCCAGTGATGATACCAATGCCGGTACCAATGCCCATCACCTAGTAGCTAACCCCCAAAGCAACCCTATGGTCATTCCCATCTCCCTACTCGGTAGGGCTGGTGAGCTTCTCGATCGTCTTATCGCCATCCTTGGGGAAGAGACCGTCCTGGCATTCGGCAGAGACCCGCGGGAGCAGAGAAGTGGAGCATTGTTCCCAAGTGGCCGACCATCAAGTGCTCCTTCATCTTTGGGACGTCAGCCTTGACGACCTTGCAGTCCCGTTCAGGGTCCGAGACGACCATAGTCTCTGGGAATACCTTGGGAACCACTCTGGAACCCACTCTGGAAACCTTGGGCTGGCTGGCTATGGCCAAACCGAGACCAGGGCCAGCACCGGCACGAGGACCAGCACCGGGAAAAAGGCCAGTACCGGGACGAACACATGACACCCCCAGCTGCGCTCGTGAGATCTGTGCAACTGGACCCTCAATTCCAAGGACCCTGCTTCGGGGGACCTATTATTAAGTCAGTCAAAGGAGATGTTCTGTCTATCCCCAAGCAAGATGCTTCCCCATGGAAGCGTGTACAAGATCACGAGTAGCAGGTTCCGCCGCAGCGCTCCTCGTGGCACTCGAACTTGTCATTTGCGCGAACGAAGCCCTTGACACCCTCTTTCGCGGGTTGGTCGGAAGGTTGGTCTTGCGGGGAGCCATCTGGCCTGGCCAAAGGGAAGAACTCGTCAGCATATATACGATCTAACGCCATTTAACGACGTGGCCGAGCGGGCTAGGGGACAAGAGGACAGGAAGGGGGCTAACGAAATCGACCAGAAAAGGCACCAGGAGAGGTGCCAGGGAGGGGAGTCTGACCTTGATGCAATACTCATTGTCCACTGTAGTAGTATGTCGTGCGTTTGGTGTAGAGCCTGCTGGCGAGATGATTCCAGAGTCACATACATCAGTGTTATGTGACCCCACCAAGTCAGAACCAAGTCTCCCCAGTCTTCCGGACCAATATCCATGCTCAGTGGGCCGCCTGGCTGGGAAGACAACAATGGTGCCGCCAATATACTCAGAGCATGGTGACTTCTGATCGCGTTTCCGTTCCCCGGCACTCCTAAGGGCACCTGCCATGGCTATGTCGTCAATTTGCCGAGCGCGAGACGCATTGATAGCGGAGTCGTCGCTGCAACGGGGGCTGCAGACTCGTTCCGTGTCGGTTCCAACTGACTATCGGGTGGGCGTCCTGCACCAGAAACTCTCCTCTTGGGACGTCGCGACCAGTACGGCCCCGGCAGAGACGCCTTAGTCACAGGGATCATTGCCGTAGGCGACAGTCACCCATTGGCAAAGGCATCTCTCTACGGGAGAGAGGTTGCGATGGTATCTTCGTCGTCGCTGGATACCACAATCACTCGCGAACGCTGGTCGACTGGCCCTGACGCCTTCAATCTTTCCTTTCCAAGGTTACTTCGAAGATAAAACCTCGACGCCACTACATACGCGTACGAAGAGCTCGTCTCTTTGCCGGTCTGCTCGTCGTCGTTGGCCGCGGCAGCGTCATCCGCTGCTCGGGCTCTTCGTCTCGGTTGTCGTCGCCGTACTTGTTGACGAAGCCGCTCCGCGTGAAGCCGACGAGGTGCCAGAAGTTCCAGTGCCAGCGTCGCTGGGATCGTACCGGAACCGATGTTGTGCCAAACGACATAACTTGCAGGGTCAAGGGTCGGTAGACCAGCCGCCCTGTTCGCGATCGACAGCGTCTTCCTCCCCTGCTGAGGATTTCGGTCCACGGAACGGTGCCGGTGGACGTGGGGCACTGACATTGCAAGCTGCTGAGCCGCCTGAGCACCCGGAAGAGCTTCTCAGCTTGCAGCCAGATCGTCTTCACGGTCGTCTTTAATACAGTCTCGGATGAGGCGGCGCTCTTCAGCCGGTACGTCGCCCATTGCACTTGGTACTGTCGCTGGGCCGGTGCAACGGACTCATCTTCATAGTCAACGACTGTACGCCGATGTCGTGGTGCGAAATCATCGCTACTCCAAGGAAGAGAGTGCTCCCACAGGTGCGCGTCTACCTCTGGGGTCACGATGGACACCCATGATCCCTGGTTCCCGTGGTCGGAACGGCATGGTAGGCAGGGGTGGGAAAGGGGCCGCTGCTTCTTGCGCCACAATACAGGGCGGAAAATGCCTAGTCGCTCGTCTGAGCGGATGTGATCGTACCTCAACTTGCACTACGCCCAGTCTACCTCGGAACTAAGCTCACCGTGGTCACTCGACTCGTACAGCGGACCGTGGACGTGCCCTCTTGCCGTCGAGAGGGCCAGGACGTTGGCAGCCAAGGTAGGTGCACCGGTGGGTCTCTCTATCTTCTTATCTAAGGGAGCAAGTGCTCCCGCAGGTACGCCATGAAGCTTCGTGCCAGGTCGGTTTGGTGTAGCTGTATTCCGTAAGGAACCAAGGGCCCTTGTGAAGGTCAGGTGGTGCCAGCAGCAGCCATGACTCCCGTTTGTCCCTGCTCTTCTTCTTACAACGGCTCCTGACCCGATCTCCATGCGATTGGCACACCTCCTTGGGCTGATCTTGCGGTGGCCGAAGGTGTCACCGCATCAAGGGGATGTGGGATTTCCTCACGAGAAGTCGAAGCGTTGCTGGGTGTCTTGTCTGGTCAGTGATATGTGCTGTATGCTGCAGGACTACGATGGTTCTGATATATCACTGACCAGACAAGACACTCAGCAACGCTTCAAGAAGGAAGGGGGTGTGCGGGGGTGGGTGCACACATAGGGCATGACGCCCTGCCCATACCAATGTCCATCGCCGTTGCTGGCATCCTGATAACAACAGGTTACCAGGCGTTGGCCTGCGGCTCCCTTCTCTAGGCCTACCGCTGTCGTATTGCGGTTTCATGAAGAAATCCATCTCGCATGCCCCGCCTAGGCACAGAGATGCGATGTAGGTGGCAAGCCCAGATTCACCGTCGTCATGAGGACTCATAGCCAAGCCCCAAAGCTCAGGAGCATCTCCAGCTCCTACTCGGGTGGGTTTATGAGTCTCTCGATCGCCTCATCGCCAGGGAAGCAAGAGTTCTGGAAGCTGACAGAGACTCGTGGGGCGCTCAGACCCCCTCGTAGCAGTATGGGCGGTGAACATGTGCTCGCCCAGCTCAGCCGACTCGGCAAACGATCGGTTGCAGCCATAGTAACTGCACACTGGCGCAGGTGCTAGATCGCCTGGCGGCGCACATGGTCGGCAAAGCGTTCACCGCCGTCCAGGTGGGGGCACGGGGCCTTGTACGTAGAGTCGGGGTTATGTTTCTTACAGAGGTGACTTTCCAGGCTCTTCTTGACGTCGTCTATGGCGGTGTGACACAAGCCGGTGGCATCAAGCTTCAGCACGAGTAAAACCCATCTTGAATATGTGACCCTCCAGATCAGCGAGGTGCGTCTGCAAGATCCTTTGGCGGTGCTCATGTCCCGCGTCTTTTCTACCCATATAGAACCATGAACCATGTAGCTCGCGGTCTACAGCTGCCGTCGTAAGAATACCTTGTCGCTATCAATGACTCGGGCAGTTCAGGTAACTACCAAGACCTCCGACTGAAATCCTCGTTCTGTGTACGTAGGCTTTTCTCCTCGCAAGGCCTTCACTCTCGCCCTCCTAGCACTTGCGTGCCAGTGAGCACCGATAGCTCGTATGCCTAACAATTAATCGGGGTCAGCGCTGCCGTAAGGATGGCGAGGAACACAGGTCCAAGAGACGCGTCAAACGCGACTCTTAGAAGTATCGAAAGGGCGTGCAACATTCAGCAACATACCTTCTTCATGATTCGGCCTTGCGCCTTGAGAAGGTAATGTGGCGACGCAACTTGTCGCTAATAAACTTAATCTCGATTTTGCGGCGCTCGCGGTTACCTCCATCACGCTGCTTCATGCTGACGAACGACTTGATGAGGTCTGCACGGTATATGTTGAAGTGGGCCAAGATGCGGTCAAGCATCGCTGTTTTATGGTCAGCATATGTTATGAGTGTAGTATAAGACCAAGGTTTACCCACCGGCATCGCCTCGGTTGGCCGCATAATGGACCATGGTCAAGCCAGCTTCATCGCGGATGGCCATGCAGACAACCGGGGTAGAATCATTCTCCCTTCTCATCGTCGTCATCGTCGTCGGCAGCGATGCTATTGCGTTGACGCTTGATGCCGCGACTCTTACCATATCATTCTCATTGCCGTCCGCATTCTAGGCGTATGTTGCGGTTGGCATTCGTTGCCATTCTGGCCCTTCGAAGTCTTCTGCTCCTTCTTGCCCTTGGACCTGGGCGCAGACGCTGCTCGCTGGTGATAGTCCAGTACTTGCCCTGGATGCCCTCCAGAAACGAGTCGGGCCCCGGGATGTGGTCTCTGGGGTTGCGGGCCACGAGAGCTTCGGCTGTTGGCTACTTAGATTCCAGCCCTGGTTGTTGGTGATGATTATTATAGCACCTTTGCCCGTCTGGCTGCCCGTCTGGCTGCCCGCGGAACATTCTCTTGAACTCCTTGAGTCCTCAGCTCGATGACCTGCTGGAACTGACCTTCGGCACAGCCGTCGCAAAGGAAGTAGACGTGTACGCCCCTGTCTGGCCTGTTCGCACCGCCGCATGGAAAGCAGTCTCTCCGGCGTTGTCGCGTCGGTTGAGAGGCGCCTCTAACCAAGGCTGTAACTGGGCCTGGGGTAGCAGGCCTGTTTGCGGTTAATGGGGAAGATGACGACTGAGTAAAGGATGTCCCACCATCTGATTCACCGCCGCCCATGAACATGTCGTTATCAACGTGGATGATGCCGCGGACGGGCCTGGCACCCGCGGTGTGGACGTCCTTCTCCTTCTCCTTCTCCTTCAATCGAGTTGACCTGCGCAACCACCGACAATCGTTTGGAAGCAATCATCAAACCATCTCGGTCGCGTCCTTGGTCGAGGCAAGGGGCGATGTCCGACATGCCGGCAAAGAAACGGACCATGCAGCGTTGGTGCTCAAGTGAAAGATTGTCAAAGCCAAGACGGAGATTGGTGTGAAGAAGCTCTCGATGCATTCAAGTGAGCAGGAGCTGCCGCGTATGCTGTGTCGATGTGGCCACCAGGTGTGATCTCTGATCGCTGATAAAGACCAAAGACCACGGTTTGTCCTGGTACATCTGTCAGTCTGGAGTTCGGCTGTACACAGCAACAGACAGGCTTTGTACTTACTTTGTCGGCCCAACTGCTTATTTCCCGATGGAAAGGATTAGACAGAGGTGCGAATCAGGGGAAGCGTCTAGCATATCAAACGTCAGTTGCGCTCTCTGTTGAGTTAATGTAAGTTTTGCAGTTGGGTTACCTCCTGTCGCGGCCTTTGACTGTTTTCCAAGAGCCGGATACCTGAGCCAAACCGAGGTTGCGAACGAAGACGCGGTACCGTATTATTTGTGTAGGAGCGTTCCCAGACCGCCTGTCTAGCGCGGGTGGTTCATCTGAGATGATTGGTTCTATAGTCAGGGCTAGGGCATATGCACGGACCGCCGTTAGCCGATGGGACTTCCCTTCTCGCGTCCGTTGTACGGGTCACTGTACCTCGCGGTCCTCGTTGCTCTAGCCAGAGTTGCCTGGTCACAAAACGCGCCCATCTTTTGGAATTTCTTGAATCCGCTTTCCAACATTCTACTCTCAAGGTATGACTCTCCTCTAACTATTTACTTCTGGTGCTTGATCCTCTTTCATCTTTACACAAACCATCAATGTCTTCACTCACAACAGTCATCCTCTTTGACACGTCTCACCATGAATCGCAAGCCAGCCCAGGGCGGTTGGACGCTCCGGGAGGCTACGCCTACATTCGCGTATTTGATAGAACTTGGCTAATCCCGAAAGGTGCACAAATCAACGCCATAACGAACCAGGGCGACATGGCTTTGCACCTGGCGGCCAAGCGAGACTGGCACGCAGGCTGCAAGTCAATTGTTCACTGGAGATACGCGGTTTCCAATGGCAGAATCTGCATATAAATATCTGCCCAATTCTCGAGTACCCTTCACTAGCTTCCATCTCTGACAGAGCTGCGCCACAGTCTCTTCAACATCTCCGCCTCTAGGAATCACCTTCTCCTTCACAAGGTAAGCGTTCTCCTACCACTTTTCCTCATGCACACTCATTTCCCATTTACTACAAGTTTCATACGCGCTATGCCAGTTCCGTCCGCATTTTGCGTGTCCGATGTTGGCACATGACATACTGGAAGTTGCACCTCGTCATTGACACTGATCCTTTGCCCAGGTCTAACTCGCCAAAGGCTTGCACACGCACCAGCACACAATGAGGCCAGCGCCTACAGGAGACCTAGCACTTCTCCTGCAGCTGCCGCTCTGACACTTCAGCGTCAGACAACCGACCCGGCCGCATGGCCGATCTGCAGCGACTAACAACGGACTATGACAGAATACTCCTCGCCGTACCTAGAGTTTGTTTGTTTGTTTTGTATTTAACGTGGGGGTAGCTCCTCAGTAGTGCAAACCACGCCTCCCAGAGCCTCTGCATCACAGGGTTGTGGAGGTCTCAAGATAATAAGTACAGTCAGTCCCGCTCACGGGCCCATCCCCGTTGTTGCGGCGGTATGACCTTACGTACCTAGAGTTATAGTGCCGATAGTAAACGACGAACAGCACAGCAATGCAATTGGCATTCTGCATTTTGTTCCCAAGTAAATCCTCTGAAATCCCTCAATGGTCCCCAGTCTGACACTTCAACCATAGTCTCCCGGAGGCGACGTCCGACTCCGTTCTCGAGGCAGCCATTACCAAGGCTTTCCTTGACTTCGGCTCCGTCTTCGTTATGATCTACCGCGATCCCAAGAACATGAGACCCGAGACGCGGAGCGACTCGGGCAGCTCGTCGCCAAGACGCCTTCTTCAAGGAAAAGGAAGATTGCTATCCGCCAATCCACAGCCAAAGACGAAAACTCCCATGCATGTATAACTCTGCCTCATTGCTCTCACACGACAGACTTGCTAACTATTTCACCAAGCCATGACCCCACCGTTACCTACAGTCTCCCCAGCGGTGCCAGCACAACCCGAGCCGATCGATAATGTTCCCGCAAACTGTTGTCACTTTCGTCCCTTCGCGTCCTGCCAGTTCACTGTCAGTTCTACCAGTGGGCGATCTTTATTAGCCAATCTACTGACTATAGTACAGCGAAAGGAGCATGCGGATGTCGGCGGAAGGGGGGCATGAGCGTGATGGCACGCCCGCTCTACGGATTTAGAGTCAAGTCAGCGAATGCAAAGCTTTGGCAGGAAAGTTTGAACTGTTGTCGGAGTGCGGACCGCACCCCCGCTCTACTCCTTTCTGGACCCAGATCTCCATGGCAGATCCAGCGAAGACAGCTTTGTCTTTAGCCCTCCTTCGACGCATGTCCCTCTTGGATTATTTCTTGGACTTTCTTTTTGGTACTCTCTCCTGGAGATATCTTTAGGCATTCTTTTTTGGAGGACCTTTTCGTCATCTTGACTGTGACCATCCCGGCGGTACTGCACCCTCCCTCTGCCGCCCAACACGGGGGCGCGCTGCCTAAACGGTCATGCATGGACCTCGTTCTGTCCTTCGCCCACGAGGTTGAAGCGGCACTTGCTAAGGGACTCAAGGTCTCTCTCGCCACAGTTGACGTACAGGGTGCATTTGACGCGCTTTTAGTGCGCCGGCTGCTGGAACGCATGCGGAAGCAAGGCTGGCCCCTAGCCTGCCTAGAGCTGATTAAATCCTTTCTGGAAAAGCGGAAGGCCAAAGTCCGGCTTGAACGTGTCTCCACGGACTTCAAGGACATCAAGTGCGGCACCCCCCAGGGCTCTCTGTGGTCCCCAGTCCTCTATATGCTGTACCTGGCAGAGCTCTTGCTACAAGACCCGGAGCTCCGTTTCGGGTACGCCGACGATCTCGCCCTCTACAGGGTATCAAAGTCACTGCAACAGAATGCTGAGATGCTAGCAGATGACCTCAAGCAGGTCATGCAGTGGGGAGACAAGAACAAGGTCTTCTTTACTCCTGAGAAATGCAAGCTGGTTCATATCACCAGAAGCCGAGACATCTCTAACCCCTCTGTGGTGATAGGTGACCATCTCATTATCGACCCTGTCCAAGAACCCGAGGATAGCGGGAAGGAGCCAGCACTACGCTGGCTGGGGGTTTGGATTAATCAGAAATTCACCTTCAAGCGACATATTCAGGAACGTGCTGGCAAAACCATGCAGCTATCCCGACATATACGAAACCTAACCAACACCAAGTACAGGCCCCCGGCGTCCGGATTACGGAAGACTGTGATCACCTGCATCCCCACGGCGCTATACGGGTCAGAAGTCTATTACAGCGGACAGAAGAAGCCGCCACGCAACCAATCACAGGCAGGCAAGCCTGAAAATAGCGCTGGTATAGGATGGCATATCAATACCCTGCAGAGATCCATCACAATGGCGGCACGGGCGGCACTGCCGTGCTGGCGGACCATACCGAATAACGTCATTTTCAGGGACGCTGGCCTCCCTATAGCAGAGGCGGCGCTTAATGCAGCGCTATGGCGGTTTGCTTTCAGGCTATATATTGTAGACAAGAAGCATCACTTTATTAAATGAATCCAATTGCCGGCGATTATACAGGGCCGTGGTACAGGCGGCTTTCAGTGCCCTAAAACAAAATTACAGCTAATAGTTCGCCTGCTATCCCCTATACAGTGGCCCTTACTGGTACCACCGCGCTTCACGCCTGGCTGCAGGATCGATCCAATCAGAGGTATTGACAAGGAGCAGGCTGTCAAGGACTTCAATACCTGGTTTGAGGCTTTGCCACTACATGACGTGGTGATCTTCTCAGACGGCTCAAAGGAACGGATGCACGTCAAATACGGCTATGCGATCTATCAGGGCGGGCGCCTGCTCGCCACTGGCAAGGGTCGTCTAGACCCGTGTTCTATCGTGTTTAATGCAGAAGTGCTCGGAGCCTGGAAGGGACTTCAGCACGTGGTCAAGTCACCCCCAGAACTTAGTCAGCGCCGGATCTGGGTATGCGTGGACAACACAGGAGCGATCTGGGGACTCCGCAGCAATGCCGCGGTGTCCTGCCAGTGGGCTACCTAAAGTTCCATGCTAAGGCTGAAGTCCGTAATATTAACGTCAAGTGGTGCCCGGGGCACTGCACCATTAAGGGCAATGAACTGGCAGACAAGCTGGCTAAGGCCGGCTCTAAGCTCTCTTATGTCGACTCCGATTGTACGCCGACGGCGTGCAGCATCAAAGCAGAGGCAAGACTAAAGCTCGAAGTCTAGCGCGACATGTGGTGGATCAAGGCCCAGACCAAGCTGACCGCTACAAGTACTGGGACCTGAAATATAAACTGCGCTATCACGAGGAACTGTAGGTACTTAATATGCTGTTATTACACTGCTTCCTTGCTATCTGCTCAGGGCATGGCGACTTCTCTTGATATCATGTCAAGTTCAAATATCAGGACGCCGTCCTTGACTGTTCGTGCGGCCGGAGCAAGACTCCGACGCACTTCATCCACTGTCGGAAGACTCTGGCACGGTACATGGTCTGGCCAAGGTGTCAGAAGGCGAACCATATGGGGGGGTAAAAATGTATGTTGTTCTGCAGAGGGCTACAATACTAATCAGGCCTGGGGGCCATGTATATGTACATGAATGGTTCCTTTGTTCCCAGGATGTGCTTCCTGACACAAGGGCCCCGGCATCCCGGCCGGAGCTCGGAGCCAGGCTCGAGTATCTAGACGAACTCATGACTTTCCCACAGGAGTACATAGACCTACTCATGGCTACTGAATTCTATGACAGTATCTGCCCTCTTCGCTAAGGACATACTCACCCTTTCCTTCTATTATGGTGTCTGGGGGCTCTATCTTTCTATCTTTCTTTTTTAATGTCTTACAAGGCGCGTAAGAATTATTGCGATATGCCGTAGCACCTATTATAAGCTCTAAGAGCACTGAACCTGGCGAGTAAAGAGATGTGGTAACAGGCGCAGTTACACCTGGTGGTCGATGAATTGATGTTCTGTAACCCTGGGACAGACTTTCGTGTAGAATTCTGTCCACTTGCAGAAGTCTCCAAATTCATTTGGGTGCGTTATCAGCCATTTCCAATAGGCTCTCCCTTCTGGTTTGGGTTCTCTGTTGTGTCCGCGGTTTCTTTGTGGCCATCTAGACCGTTTTGTAAGGGCTCTGTTACAGAAAGCAAAGTGGGCTCATGTTTTGATTCTCCAGCAAGAGCAGTTGTAGTGTTCTTCGTGCTTGAACCTCTTATGGTACCAGCTAAAGTCGCTGTGGCCAGTTCTAGATGCAATAAGCCTGTGGAGCGTTGGCCTGTCCAGCTTGAGCTCTTCTGGGCACTTGAGTGTAGTTTTTTGGAGGCCGAGACTTTTGTATTTATTGGTGATATTCTCGTTCTACCATTGCTGGTGTTTTTTCTGAGTCTTTTCGTTAAGAAGGCTTAAAACGCCCGCAAGCGTGGGTTTGGCCCCGGTAGGGATTGGCAAGGTGGTGCCTTTTTTTGCCTTTTTGTCAGCCTCTTCGTTGCCTTGGATGTCCATGTGCCCTGGCACCCACCGGACCTGTACGTCGGCGTACGTGTCCGAGATTTTGTGGAATTCTAGGAAAGCTTCTTGGGAGCTCTGAGCTGGTTCCTTCCACAGTCCGGAGATCACTGCTGTATTATCTAGGCACACGTGGATGGTGGCGCCGCTGCTGAGCCTCAGGGCCTGTCTGAGTACGTGGCGGGCCCCTTCAACCTCACTATCAAAGACCTCAGCTGGGTGGCCCAGTCTGCCACAGCCTGAGGCTACGTTTGTCTGGCCTCTATAAATCATGTATCCATAGCCCACTGCCCCCTCCAGGGATTTCAAGCCATCAGAGTAGGCGACTATATGTGAAGGCAGAAGCAATTTTAGCCAGTCTGTGAAGACTTTGGCTTCTTTGGCTTTGCTTCTTGTTATGACAGCTTTGCTAATATTCGTTATATATCTTGGTTCCGTTAGGATTGGTCTTAAAAAATCCCGTGTGAGTTCATATGTCCTTTGGAGCCGTGTCCTTGCAGTTATCCTAACTAGACCCCTCAGGCCTCTGTTCACGGTAGGGTTCCGGGCTGTAACACATCGGACTAACAGATACATGTTATCCATAGCTCTGATCTTCAGGCTGAACCGTATCCGGATCTTGCTGAGTATAGTTTGTACCGTTGGTAGGCCTGATTCTTTAAAGAGTACTTTTTTTGGTGTAGTTCTCCAGACCGGGAGAATCCCTCTGATGGCCTCTGTAAGGACTCTTTTGAGGTCGTCCGAGTGGCCGTTCTGGCGGGTGCTCATGTCCCGGGCCTGACTGTTTCCTGCTCTCTTGTAATCCCCGGCCCCTCAGACCTCTGCCCCATAGGTCATGATAGGAATTACGCATGCAATTACCGCCTTACGGAGGGCTACTACTAGGGGCCCTCTGGTAGTGTTCATAAGACTTCGAATATGTCTGGCCACGACGAGGCCCTTGGCTGCCCGTCTTTTGATATGCTCCCGGAACTTCAGGGACCTGTCGAAAAAAATCCCTAGCCAGCGGACCACCGCCCCTTTCACTGGTTGCGCTGGTTTGATGGTAAAGCCTCCGGGGGTGACTATTTCTGGTGTGAGAGGTCTCCTCCCAGTATCAAAGTAGATGGCTTCAGCCTTGGAGTCTTCAAAGGTGACCTTGTTGTCTAGGCCCCAGCGTAGAATATCGTCTACCATGCTAGCTGCCTTGGCTGCTAGCTCGGTAGTGGTTTTGCCCGTTATTCGGATGCTGATGTCGTCTGCATATCTGAATCTGTTATGCTTATACTCTAAGAAGATATCTGCAATATACAGCAGGAAGAGGATCAGTGAAGCCGGTGATCCTTGTGGGAGCCCACAACTCAGTCCGAATACCTTAGTAGTAACGCCTTCCAGTCTAATCCGAGCAGTTCTGTCTGATAAGAAGGAATCTACCCATTTTACAAGGGCTGATACCCAGCACTGCTGGTGGAGCCTGAGGATCAATCTCCGGCGAAGTACTGCATCAAACGCCCCTTGTACATCCAGGGTGACAAGAAGCACTTTTTGCCCGGATTCCAGGGCTAACTCGATGTCATGTGTGACTGCTGCAGTAAGGTCAACCGCAGAGCGCTTAGGGAGGGCCCCGATTTGGTTTGGGCTGGTCACCCCTCTTAATAGGGCTGTTGTTACCATCCGTTTTGCAACTAGCCTTTTAAGGCCCTTTCCAAGGCATAATAACAGAGCAATCAGCCTGTATGATTTCGCAGTGGTATAGTTCTTTTTCCCCGGCTTCTTGAGCATGACTACCTCTGCTGACTTGAAAGGGGTGGGATGGTGCCCTGTTTTAAGGCAGGCTTGAAATAGAAGCCAAATCGGCTCTGCTAGGTGGACCCATGCCGCTTTGAGAAGCCGTGTTGAGAGAGTCTATTCCGGGGGCTGTGTTTTTTGTGAGAACCATTTTAGCAAGTTCGGTTGGCGATATTGCAGAGTCCCATTTTAATGCAGTGCGGGGGGCAATGGAAATCTCTAACGGGTCGTGTACGAGGTCGTCTTCGGCCGAGTGCCTGTCTAGTAAGGCCGTCTTAAGGGCATATGCCTTTTTGGTAGTGTCCTTTACTGTCAAGTTGCCGACTTTTAGTGGTGGTGATTTTATGTCCGGATTTAGCTTATGCCAGTTGATTATCTTGAAGAGGTCTGAGTCTTTCTGTATACCTTTGATGCGAGCTTTCTAGTATTCTCTTTTTGCCTTTCTTACTACCGCCCAATACGCGCGTTTCTCTTCCGTAAGGGTGTTTATTCCAAATTGCTTTGTTGCCAGCTTGTATATTCTTTTTGCTTTCCTGTACTTATTGTCCCACCAAGGAGCGTTTCGTCTTTTACTGCTTGGCTTGTTGCCAACAGTTTTGAGGGCCAGTGTGATAAGGTTTATAATAACAGAGGTAGCTTTGTCGAGTTCTTCTGTTGTGGGGTTAGAGCTGAGGTTTGGTAGCGGGGTTCCCATACGTATTATCTCACAGAACTCTGGTAGTTTGTCATCTGGTATTGTGTATCTCTGTTGAGCCACTCTTTGTCTCCCTTTAGATGAGATTGTGATTTGTAGTGGCCAGTGGTCTATGGCTGCGTGTATAGCGTAGTTGACTACTGCGGTTGCAAAGGGGATGTTCGAGAAGGTGAGGTCGAGCACGTGCCCATCGTCGTGTGTAGAGACGCCCGGTTCCCTAAT